GTAATGGCGGCGCCGCATCTAGTGGGAAAGTAGACAAGCAGCCAGACAAGCGCCAGACAAGCACACACAGATATGCAGATACAGCCTGCCTTACTGCCACTCAAGCGACGGCTCAACGTCGCTTGTCTATCAACGGTGGTCGACGAAATGTTAAAAGCAGTACAAAAGAGGTTTAGAATGAACCACTGCCTTCGGGTTCTCTGCAATTATCATGTTCGCAGTACACTCAAAGGTTGCGGTGAGATCATTACTACATCCTACCATGGTAAGGAATAGATAGCGGAAAAGTTTAATATCAATCCTTTGCGTTCCGCGACCGCCGTATTGGAACCAAATGTCAAAGAGTGAGAACCACCTGGAAATCTGGCTTTTGAAGTACGAGTTGCGATTGAAAGCATGAAAAGAGGCACGACTTTAGGTCCTCAAACTATCACTGCCAGATTCCATAGAGATAGCGGTTATAATATGCACGCACTTCTTGCTTGACAAATGACATCCTAATAGCTTCAGAAAAAAGCGAAATCGGTGAAGGACATCGCGCGCAGTTACCTCACCTAAGAAGGACGACAACAGAGATTTTCTAACCACTGCTTAATATGCTTGTTGAGTTTACTCTACGAGCTCTTCACAAATCATCGTTTTGCTAATATCACGAATCTTAGTGAGGAACAGCTAGTTAGACGAGTAGGATTCAGAAAGGGTCTCTACATGGATTGCATCCATACCGTGTCATGGTTCATTGCAGTTCTTCGAGAGGGTCCTTTGTTTTTTTCCTGATCTTTATCAACTATGCGAAAGCGTTTGACGACGTCGAAGCAAACGCAATCCTCTCCGAGATCCTTGATTAGGACCTCCCTATATACAAAAACTAACAGAATGCTATCGAAGTTGTAGCACAAAAATACAGCCTTTCCATAAAACCCTCACAATACTCGTAGGGAAGCGTGTTTGCGAGAACGACATTATATCACCAAAGTTGTTCACACTGCACTATAATGGCTGATGAAGTCGTTTGATTGGGACAAGAAAGGTACACGTATAAAGGGAAAATTGCTATCAAACTTTCGCTATTCATACGACATCGCCATCTTTTCGAAAGGTACTCCTGAAGCAGAGACAATGCTCAATGAACTCAACGGATCGTGGAAAAAAATTTTACTACTCATAGACATGACGACAGTTCAGTCAAGAAAGAATCCATGGTAGTAAGGTGAACACAAGTGCTGAGCCCCAAAGGGCACCTAAATGAGCTCTCTAAAGTTTAATCAACCGTCACACGCTTAGCCGCCTTGCGCAGCATAGTCAAAAACTATACCACCTTAGAAAATGAGAATTACATGCATCAATAGCGAAACACAGATGAGCCGATCACATAATGAAATAAACAGATGGCAGATGCAATAGAAATGGAATGGAGAGGATTGCAACAATATGCAAGTGTCGTCTTGGAATACCCAACTGACGATGGCGGAAATTTGTGACTAACGTCAGTCACCTGCTGTGCGGACGGCAACGAGTTTCGATTTACAGAATGAGTACTTTGCCATATTCAAAAAAGACTACCACCATAGACGGCAATATGCGAGAGAGCAACAAGTCGAAACTGTGCGGGACTTGCACTACAGTGAAAACGGGCTGTTTAAGTATCCAAGTACTCAAATGACGATAAGTTTATTATTATTATTATTATTATTATTATTATTATTATTATTATTAGTATTATTATTATTATTAGTTTATTATTATTTATCATTATCTATGTTATTATTATTATTAATTGTTATTATTCTTTTTTGTTTATTATTTATTCATATATAATATTGTTATTGATGACCTCCAGCTTGTCATCAGATTAAAGGTTTTGTTGACCGCGCGTGGAATGTAATAGGCCCCAAACCATAAAGCTCATTTCAGAACATAACACATTTCAGTGGTCTCCAGCCTTCACCTTGTTGTTGAGAGTAATTGAAAGCAACATACCATTCGAATCATGTGCTTATTAGACAAATCTAGTAGACGATTGATGATCAACACAAAGCAATTCATGCATGTACCGCACCAAAGTCCTGCAAAAATAAAAAGAGTTGATCGTGTTGCCCTCTTCTATGATAACTTACATTCTTATCTCAACAGCTCACGTAATAATGGCTCTACATCCGATACGACATTTCGTGAATGCTTGATCTTTTTTACGTATCTATCAGAAAAGCCGCTATCTACAAAATAATCCTTTTTTGACGCTATACACAGGGTACGTAGAGGTTTTGTCAATTTTTTCAGATATTTCAATAGCAAAAATATCCTGAATGAACAAATGAGCTCATGATACTTCTCCGTTATCTGAGCGCCATTTCGATCGCTTGTAAGAAACGTATTTCGTGGTAATTTTCAATGTTCAAATAGTCGCTCGATAGCACAAATTTTGAAAAAACATTGAATGGCATGTTTTAACTTTAAAAAGGCCTTCTTATTGCTCTGGAAGGGGAAGAATAAAATTTTTTTTCTCATCGAAAGATTTCTAGCTGACCAAAGTTTTTCCTTCGTAGTTTCAGCAACTAGTCTCGAGAATTCAATGATTATTCAATTTTCGTAACAGACCTGGTACTACACTGTAACAACCAAAAGAGGATTGGGTTTCGCAAGAAATGGATCGCTCCAACTATCCTCTTTTCACTTCGATCCATTGGGAAAAACGTATTTTTTGATCGTTTTCAATGTTTAAACAATCATTCGATAGCTTAAATCAAAAGAATTCGAGTGGTGCATTTTAATTTCAAAAGACCTTAATATTGCGCTGAAAAAGCAAAAATAATAAATTGTTCCTCATTCAAAGACCTCGCTTACCAGATCCTCTCTCTTATAGTTTTAAATATCAATGATTCCAAAAAAGTTTCTGGTTTTTTGAACGGACTTCTTAGTGCTTCATAAGGACCAAAAGAAAATCAGGTTTCTCAATCGATGCTTTTTTTGCGAAGCACAATCTTCTTTTAACTGTAACTGTGTGATAGAAGGTCGATATTAAATAGCAAATAAATCGTTGGAATTCTTAAGATAAAGTCTATTGATTAATTACTAAAGCTCTAAGTGTAAAGCGTTCGTCAGCGAGATATTTTTGAATGAGTAACAGAAGATTACTTATGCTCTTTCAGCGCGATAAAAGGCCTTTCTGAAGATCAAATTGACCACCAATATTCTTATAATCTGAACTATTGAATGGCTACTTGAACATTGCAAACGACCAAAAAATACGTTTTTCACAAAGCATCGAAGTGAGGATCGGATAATAGAAGTGATCTTTTTGCAAAACCTAATCTTCTTTTGACTGTTATAGCGCAATGCGTGGTCCATTTTGCAGGCCAAATAAATCATTGGAATCTTTAACATTTGATCTAACGATCGATTATTTAAACTCCAAAGGAAAAGCTCTGGTAGGCGGAAAATCTCGAATGAGCAACAAAATATTATTATTGCTCTTCCAACGCAATAACAAGGCATTTTTGAAGAGGTATACATTGATTATTTACTTCTGTTTAGCCGTTTCGAGGTGTTATTGATATTAATTAATGAATATTAGCGAAGCATACAACAATATAGTTAGTAATGCAGCTTGAATATACAATATTCGACGTGACTAACGTTTTGGAGGGTCGCCTTCGTCAGAGCCGTTTTGCTGTGTGGGTCTAACAATTATTAATTGGAGACCAGCCGCTTAAGCTCAGTGCATCAGGGGGCTGTTCACTCAGCACTCATCACTCAGCGAGCCGAATGCGCAGAAGCTCAAATTTGCTGGAGCGCAAATCCGTCTGCGCCAAAGTGTTGATTACTGCAAGGCTCCAGTACGCCCCATAAAACTTGCTGCTGATCGCTGGCAACGCTGACTTTGACGCTCTCTCTGTAGGCCAACGACCTCTTTCTGGTGATGCAAGTACCGGCCCAGACTATCATAGAGGCCGGAAGATCACTGCGGCCTGTGGTTTTTGCCATTGTGGACTTCTCCTGGCCCTTCTCAAGAGTGAGTTGACTCTGAATGCCTACTCGTTGGGTGGAAAGATGAGCGTGTGCGAGCATCCGTTTAAATATTCGCAAGCGATTTCCTAAGTCAAAAGCCGAAGGATGCAATTTTGAAAATTTTTTGTAAATTTTTCTTGCTACTATTACATTTTTTGATGTGATAAATGCTATCAACCCTTCAATTCAATGATTTCACTTGTTCATGCAGTATTTTTATACCGCTGAAATTTCTGGAAAGTGGTAGGACTTTTTACGCACTTTGTTTAATAAAATAATGACGTTGTACAACGAAAAGCCTACCAAGAACTATGGCACCGGTGATGTACATCAGCTTTGGATAGTGACAAAAGTTAGCGCCAACAATATAAAAATAACCAGTTAATAGCGAGATAATTGCAATCGCAGCCATGTCGTATACGCCTAAAAGAACTCTCTGAGTTTTACCTTTAGTAAAGCTGTACAACTACGGCATTAGAGGTTCGCTGATGGTCAACAAACATTTGGTGATTTATGATAGGGTGACATCAAAATACTGGAAGATGATTGACCATCAGACATGTGAGCAGCAGCACAGCAATTCGGTAGTCTTCCAGTGATGGCAATAAATAGATCGTATTGTTTTTGCTCATTGACGCTGTTTTGTTCAATATAATTGTTTCCCTTTATTTTCAATTCATCGACTTTCCATCTTGACAACTGTAACAAAGTTAAGGTTTAATTCGAGCATTACCTAAAGAGATCATGATTTTATAGCAAGACAGTTGGCGTTGTTCTTTTCGCATCATTACACACAGCACAATGGAGTATACAAGCTGAAATTGCTTTAACAGAATCAAATTTATCATTATCATAAAAAGAGCCTATCTCTGTTTTTTATGCCTCCCATACAAGCACAGTAAAATCAATTGGAATTCATTTTATTGACCGCCTCCTGCGGTGGTATGATCTTATAATATACCCAATAATGTAGAGAGCTGTAAAAAAATACTTGCTTCAGCCGGGATTCGAACCCAAATCTCGTTCTTTCCGGGATCGCGTGCTAACCGTTGCACTACCGAGAAATAGATGTCCCATAAGGTTGTTTGAAGATGAATTGAACTGATAAGTGGGTTTAATGACGATTGCGGCTGCACGCCAGAGCGTCGACGGTTGGCTGTTGACAGGTAACGCGTTGTAGCGTAGAAAGAGTGTCGTGCAAAACGAGCTTCGGTAGTGAGAAGGTTAGCACGCTCTCTAGGGAAAAGTGAGATCTGGGTTCGAACGGCTGACGTGAATGATTTTGCACAGCACTTACATTATTAAGCATAGTTGAATCGTGTTTCGTTGAGGTACTTGTCTGGTAAGGTATTATGCTGCGCTTGTTTTACCGAAATGATCCCCAATAAGCTTTTCAGTCGACTATTTTGAGAACTTGCTCAAAAACAGTATAATGTTGAAACTTACTTTTAAACTTTCATGAAATCTGTTATGCGTTCATAGACAGTGCAAGACACGCGTTTTTGCTATACAGCCTCACCAGTTGCACGGTGCTTTTTCGTTCAGTCAGTTCCTCGGGCATCTACCCCTATAGAGACGAATCGACGACGAACTTTTTGCACTCAGCGTACGGTGAAATAATCACCATGACGCTCTTTGAGAGTGATTGGTTGTCGATATGGCGTACGCCTCTTACTGAACATATGTAACAAACTTTTCAGTCGACTATTTCGAGTCCTCCCTTAAGAATGGTATAATCTGGCAATGTATTTTGAGCCTTTCATGAGGTACGTCATGAGAGCCAACGCCATAGTGATAGCTCATCGTACACTGGGTGTAAGAAGTTTTTCGACGTTTCCTTTATGAAAAAGTAGATGCCCAAGCAACTGAGTGTTCGAAGAGGCACCGTGCAAGTGACGAGGCTGTGAAGCTGAAGCACTGACTGTATAAAAGCTCATAACAGACCTCATGAACAGCTCAAAATACATTTTCAGATCTTCAATTACTAAAAGATGAATGCAGCAGGTTTGACTAGTGGACGTATATAAATAATATAAAGTGTGCTTGGTTTTCTCAGCATCCGATCCACTCCACTTCTCATCTATCCTTCGTCTACTTCTTTCATCCGCTAATACCTCATGCAGACTTTCCTTCTGATTCGTTTATCGGAAATACTGTGCGAACATGAATTGTGCGGGTGTCGAAGAGAATCATCAAGCGAAAGCTAAGATACCTGTTTTCTTACATCATTCTTATGAATGATTTCATGTACACGTTTTTCCTTGACGAATGTTGATAGAATGATAGCCGCTTCATTGCGATGGAGCCCCTCTCTTAGTCGAATAGGCTTAGACACTAATGATACTCCCTTCTACCGCAGCTTGGTGTCGAAGTCACTTATGCAAAAAGTTCCATTAGCACATTGTCTCAAGTTCTTGAAACATAACATGAATAGTCTGCCTAAAGAGTTCACAACACGCTCTCAATGAGATGACCATAGTAAGTATACTTCTCCTTGATTATTAAGCTAATGTGTGCTAGTCATGATGCTTCTTCTTGCTGCTGCATCAGTACCATCGTTGTTCCACAACTAGTTTATTAAAATTTATGAGTTCGTTTTCGCTATTTGAGTGCTCTTTGTCGTGAGTCGAATCCAATAAATTGCTTCGAATGAGTAACCTCTCTTGGAGGTACTTTTTCAGAGCGATTATGTTGCAACTGCCCATATTACTCCAGCCGTATTTGTTGAAAATAAACAGATGACTGCGAAATTAGTGAATCAAAACTTGAAGGCATTTCTTCGCGCTGTCTGCAAGAAGTTCTTTACCTATTATCCTGCAAGTGCATGCAAAATTTGATGGCTAGAGAAGGTATGAAGCAACACGGATGATAAATGGTGTTATGTCTCCGAGACAATCAAACTCTTATTCTGCTCAGACGATAAGCTTTTTTTGACAAAGGTCTCTGCCACCATCACTAGCTAAGGACATCTTCTGCTAAAGATCTAATCCTTCTCACCGGACTTTACAATTTCAAGCGTAATCCGGCGACGCGCATTAAATTGAAAATAATGCGGTACCCCAATGTTGCAGTTAGTCGAACTTCCAAGCCTATCCTAACTTTTGTAGATGATAGACGTGAAACAGATGACCGATACAATGCCTGGCTTCGCGTTAATGGATCCACTGCTAAACAGTACCAATTAATGCTTTCAATCAACTAAATTTTATCAAACTCGAAAATTTCAATATATGCCTATACAGTTCTATAGAGCTGATTTCGAATCATTTACGAGGTTTTGTCGGAACATGCGTGTATCATTATCACTAGAATGTAACACCGAACTCTTGAGAGGCTTGATAAATTTGTGTGGGAGAATATTGTTAATTATTTATATGAACCGCCTATCACGCCTACTGTGTAAATTCTAGCACCTCTTACATTGCTGTTTCGCTTTCCTCATTTATTGTCCACAAAAATCTCCGAAGATTTTGCGTGTTGCTTTCGCTACCGCTTAAGAAAATTGTCTTTTCTATGAATTCTATGAAGTGCTGGTGTGGTCCACTCCTTTTGTTATCTTGTAGAGAGCCGAACTGAGGCTTTCCCACATAGTAGGAGAGCGCTGGGCAAGGAGTTAGACTAGTGCCGCCTTTTCTGATGATGCAGTGTATCACTAATCACTTTACCACTTTTTCCTCACTTCGCAAGATAAGCTAAGTAATAATCAAAACGCAAATTGATCTAAGCGAGTTCGCCAGTTTGAAATCTGTTGCACTAACGAGTTATCTAACCGTCCTGAGGATCCAGAGTGAAAGAATCACAGTGACCTGTGTTCAACGAAGACGATCCAGAGTGATATGTAAAAAAGGGAAGAATTCTGAGCAAATACTTCTCGTTGTTAATCCTCCACCACGATGCATTTTGGTAGAAATTTTGTTGTTTTCAAGGCAGGCTAAGAAGGTAATAATATGTCTCCATAGGCTGTCTTTTTGAACAGAGCGCTTTGCAGTAATCCAAAGAGTATTCTCAAGGAAAAAGGCCAATGATTATGTTAAATGCTTTGTCGCAAATCTCAAGTTCACTAAAAGGTCATTATTATTGATATACTCAATCTTTTTTTTTGCTAATATCTCAATTCTTTTGTTTCTGAAGGAATGAAACATCGCCACCGAAAAGAAAAAATAAAGAGATCAAAAGGTACCTCTGCAATTATTCCATAAATTATACATGCTATCCCGAGCGGAATATTCACATATAAAGCTTCTCTGTTTGAGTCCCTGTAAATCAAAAAAAATTTCTTCATTTGAAAAGCGTCTATTATCGCAAAAACGGATCAGTGACTACCTTATCTCAGATGAACGTGAAAAATATCACCATTTAACCTTTTGAGTGCGACAGAGTGACGACTGCAGTCCCCATCCGGTCTCGCGCGACGAGCAGTCTATTACTCCGGGAGCTTGGTGATGCCAGCTATCAAGAAAAAGGTTACTGGTTCAGTCTTCCCCCACTGAGACACCTTACAGCTGTTTTTTCAGTTTTGCAGTCCATGAAGCATATCACCTGACGCACCATATCATCTCATGTCTCTATCGTAACACCGTAACACGAGCAACTTATTTATTCAAACCACTTATTTTACCTTCTGCTCCGTATCAAAAATTAGTCAATTGTTAATAAATGAGCCTATATTGTTATAATAATAGGTTGAGGAAAAAGTCCCTTAACACCTCTTCACAATTCAAAGTTTACAAAAATTAAATTGGAACAGCATTGATTATCATTCATATAAAAACCATCATTATTCACGGCCTTCTATCAACAACCTGCAAGCTTCTGGATCTTCTTGATATACCACTCCTTCAACGTTGAATCAATAAACTCCTGTCATGCCTCTAAAACTTTATCAAATGTCTCAAATCGGCGTTCACGCAAGAAATCGGTTCCATTGCGACGGAAATCGGACGGTTCAGCATTTGGGCGGTAGGCTGAGTGCGGCAAGACTTCGACTACCTCCAGTTCATCAAACTTGCCCAAGTCTTCTTGCCAATGTGAGTTTGGCACTGTGTTGATGAAACAATGCGCGCTTTCCAATGCCAATGCCGGATACTTTTCCTTCAGCGCATACTTATTATGAGAGTTTCTTATGGAATTAACGGAATAAAGCTCTCGGCGTTGATCAATTCCTGAGGGATGCGCCATGCATTCGACTTCAAGTTTTAACCTCGTTTGAGGTGATTGAATGCATATCTGGCCTTTACAATGACTCGCGGTGGCCTCCCGCTGAATCGAGTCAGTGCTGCTTATCCTCCCACACAAGTCTGAGACCTGTCTGGTACCAATTTACCGACTCCGGAGGGATGGATGGCTTGGTTAGCCATGAGCGCGAGAGCGAACCATTGACCTCGTGTGCGACGCAAAGCACCTCTAACCCCTGCGCCACACGCGCTCCTTATGGAATTATTCCTGACATATTCCCATCAATTTACAATAACCGGTGTTATGTGATTTTTGCTGGTGTCAAGAAGCTTTTTCCTCAAACTAGTGATTGCGCACATAGAAGATCTTCAGTACTAACCGACACCCAAAAGTTGGCTGAGAAGAAGCGTGGTGGGAGTATTAACCGGTAGAGGGCCAAAGGACTCAGAAGGCGTGTCTGGCCTCAACCCCTGGCCCAATCTCCACCAATCGCATCTGTCCTTTCATAGATGATCGTGATAGTGATTGGGATGATAGTGGTAGTGATGGTAGCGATAGTGATAATAGTGATAGTGATCATAGTGATAGTGACGGTAGTGATAGGTAACATAGTGGAAGTGATGACAGTGATAGTGATCATAACAATAATGATGATAGTGATAGTGATCATAGTGATAGTGATGATAGTATAGTAATTATAGTGATAGCGGCGAAAGTGATAGTGATGATACTGATAACGATCATAATGATAGTGAATATAGTGATAATGACAAAGGTAGTGACAATGATAGTGTTAGTGATAGTGATGGTGATAGTGATAGTGGCAGTGATAGTGATAATGATAGTTATCATTATTTACTTTTTTATTTACCATCACCATTATT